AGAATTTTAGTTTTCTCTTTTAATAGATTTTACCATCTCAAGAACCATTATTTTTTCAATAAACTTGGGTTAATACTTAAAATTAGATTAATACATCACTATTTCAAATAGAAATCTAACTAAACTTAAAACTCTGATAAACTAAACATAAAATTTTTTCTCTGGAATATTTTGTCTTAATTTAAAATTGCCTATATTTATGTTTTTCAGATCATTTCCTATAGCGTGGCGAGATATATATCTTCTACCGTACGACCATATGGGTCCATTTTGCATAGGACTTTCTGTAGGATACTTTCTTGCTCTAAAGAAAGACAAGCTTGAAATTAGTAAGGTGAGAATCAGGAACGTTATAAAACTTTACAAGACTCAATTTAACGTTTACTCGAAGCGTTACGCAGTGCTCTCTGGTCATGTATGTTCCTTTTGCATTGATCTATTGATCTGACATCTTTGTAAAGGAAGTTAAGTCAGAAATAAGTGAAATGTGTAAAAATGCTAACCTTTTCGTTTCCAAGTACCATGAAAAACTTAATACCATAGTACCTAGGCACTTATAATACTTATTTACTAAGCATTAATTACCACAATATCAATTGTATCAAGTGCAAAAAATAGACAAAAAGAAATATAATTTTAAATAAGTTGTATTTTAAAAATTTGATTTCTCAGGTGCTATTTTAGTGATTTTGCTCACATTTTGTGTTTTAACATGTAACCTTACATTATATACTTTAAAGTAAAAAAAAATTTATACCTTACTATTCAAAATTTTTTCGACCATTATTAAATAAAATTTTAAAAAATAATAAAAAATTCCCTAAAAGTTATTTTTTTGCAAGGAATAATCTTTGTTACATCAAAGAAAAAAAAAACATTGTTTTTATATTTTTAAAATTAAATTCCTGATTACTTTTAATCAAATTTTGTATTAAATTTATATGGAAACTTCTCGGATACATTGTAAATAGTTAGTATAATAAAAATAAGAATAATAAAAATATCTAATGATGCAATTTTTTCTTCAGATAAAAGCTCAAAATATGTTCTCGATCAATTTATCTTGCCATACTTCAAAATATAAACTCTTGAATAGCGCAGAATTTTTCAAAAACTACTAAATTTGCCTTTCAAAGATGAAATAATTTCATTTCAGCTGACCAGTATGTTTCTCTGGTGTCTGTCTCTCGGATGCAATATCGCAGTTATGTTTGGTTTATATGGTTATAGACATGGAGACAAAATGAATCTTTCACTATCCACCTTTTATGCAGTTATGAACAGAAATGTATGGGCTTTAGGCATTGGTTGGATTGTCATTGCGTGTACAACTCATCACGCAGGTAAACACTCTTAAAGCATATAAAACACTTTGACTGACTGTTTTATAACAGTGTTACAGGAGCAATTATTTACATTTTGCTTTATTAAGATGTATTAAATTTCAATCAGTTATAGGGATTCAATGTAATTCAGATTATAAGTAGCATGCAATTTAAATATCTCTGAAAATTAACCTATCAATTATTACAGAAAGTAATATGAAAAATATTTATGTCAATTCCTACTTAGGTCAAGAAAGAAGAAGTTTATTTTTGTTACTTTTTTTGACATACACACTGTCCATCTCTCTCTGTAATTTATCCATATGTTTCATTTTCCATTCTGTTCCTTCATTGACTCAGACTAGAACCCAGAACGGAAAAAAAATATCTGAAAAAGAAATTTTTTACCAGAAATCTACGCGCTTTACCACTGACGGTTTTTATTTCAAATATTAACTCATTAAAGAAATTTAATTAATTAATTTTAGTTTTATATCATAAAAAAATTTCTCTTAAAATATTTAGCAGGATATAAATTTAGGAATAAAAACCGTATCTATTATATTTATATCCCTCTAAATATCTTATAAAAGACCCAAAAGGCCCAAAAAGAGATGGAAGGACTGTGTAGATGAGGATTTTTCCATCCTAAAAGTAAAGAACTGGAAAACAATTGCTGGGAAAAGGACAGAATGGGAAAAACTTCTGAGGAAGGCCCAGGCTCACAAAGGGCTGTCGTGCCAATGCTGATGATGAAATATCTTATATAAGAGAATTTTTTTTCTCAAATATGAAATTAAAATTAAGTAATTAAATTTCATGAATGAGTTAATGTTTGAAAAAAACTGTATTAACATCAAATGTCATCCACTAAAAGTGTAAAAATGCATTTGAACTTTGCGTAGATGAATAGAAAGTATTTTATTAATGATTGAAAATTTGAACAAGGCTTATAAATTTATACTGGGAGAGTGTGAACTAATAGTAGGAATTGAAAAAAGGGCTAGTTAATATTTTTTATAAGAGATTTGTTTATAAAAGCGTAGATTCATCTTCCAGATTTTAATGATTATGCCCCCATTCATCTACTAATCATCTATTAAATTTACAACAAACTAATGAGGCGATTAATATAGATGTAGTCAATTTATTATTAGAATGTACTACTTACCAACTCGTCTCTCTTTCCTGTTTTCTTTTTTAATATTTAATTTAAAACACTTGTTCGACTCTTATCTATATATATATTTTAAACAAATTTCTCTAATGAAACACATTTTACCAAGACTAAATTACATTTTTCTGCTAATAAATAATATATTTCAGAAGCCAATTTCTAAGAGAATTTCGTTTTGTAATGCAAATAAATTTGGGCACATCTAACTATATTGAGTCAACACATTTCTAGAGTCATCACTGGCCAAAGTGTTAATCTTATTTATTCTTAATTTTAAAACTTATAAGTCCTTAATTTCTTTTTAAAAGCATAAAAAAGGCTTCAAAGTCACTACTCAATACACAAGCTCTTAGAATGTCTGTCAAATATAAAACGTAACGTAACATTTAATGAAATATATAAGCCAAAATCTTTATAAAACAAGTTTCAAATTTTCAGTGCTTACGGTCTCGTTAGATACCAACCTTAATACTTAACATTCTTAAGACGTACCATCCTTAAAACACGAACCATCCTTTTCATATCTTTTCCAAACTTGAAATAAAATAAATCCTTACTGGAGAACAAATTATATTCTAAGGAAGAAAAATAATAAAAAGTATTATTAAAATCTGAATAATAATTACAGTAAGGCTATATTACAATAAAGCTCCGACAAATAAACTGAATTTTAATTCGCTTTAACTATGACTAACCTCGATGAAATTCGTTACAGGTTTCGTAAAATGCAAGTTTTAAATATCATTCACATCTAAAAGCATTAGATTGTAAATCAGCCTAAATTTTCTCTAAAACTTAATTTCCGAGAATTGTACATTGTAAGAAATTACGGATAAAATTGAGGTAAAAAGTACTAGCACATTGAGTGCCATATCTGAAATTCCATTTTACCGTAAAATATATTTTTACCGTAAAGTTTTATACGGAAATTTTCACACCAATAATTATTTATTTACAGTGTTATATATTAGAGTAAATATATTGCTGTAAATATTAAGGTATATCAGAATTTTGTTTCCTAAAATTTCAGTGCACAGGAGAGAAAACTTAAATTTTATACATTTTATTTATATAATCGATTAATGTTTTCAGAAAATAATAAAATTTTTCTATTAAAGTTTAAAAACTTTGATCGGTGCTTAATTGAAAATAGTGATAGTTATTTAACCTTTTCTCATAATTTTTAATGTAATTGATGATATTATTATACTTAGGACCTGTTTCTCGAAGATGTATTAAATTTCAATCA